TTTCCAATAATTTATAATACTTTTATATAAACTTACAAGATCTATAATTTTTTTATTTTTATCTTTTTTATTTTGTTACATTTTTGTATATATCCTTTGTATTCAAACAGATTAAACTAATAAAATTTAAAGTTGGTATTTTTTTTTAAAATAGAAATTACTTTAAAAAAAATATTTATAATACTAAAGAAATAAGTCACAACTGATTTGATAATTGGTTATTTGCAATATTATTGAAATTCCATATATTTCTTTAATTGAAGAAGAGAATGAAATATATTGCTCAAAGCCAATTTTTTTTTTAAAAAAATAATTAAAAAATTGTTGATACAACAAATCTTTAAAAAAATAAAAAAAAAAAATAGGAAGTAACGGAAGTAACTTTAGTTAATATTTATAAATACTTTTCTTTTTTTTTTTAATCAATGATGCAAGAAATAAATGATCTATCCTTTGAGCAGACGTAGCTAACTTACATACGAAATCTACGAAATCGAAATATATTTTAAAGAATTATTATTAGAATCGCGTAAAAACTAACGGGTATTTATGGTTTAAGTTTCATTATGCCATTTAAAAGTACGAGGCGACTTGATTTTTCTAAAGTGTAAAAATCAGTATAAGTGAACCAGGGCTACCATCTTTAGAAATAAATTAGGGAACAACAAGTCCTGTAAGGGAAATCGATCTAAACCGATTCCTTTTTAGTAAAGTATCGAAGGAGAATATTACCTTGAATATTTATTGGATGATTTTAACTATAATAATAATAATATTTATTTATTATTTATACAAATAGTGTCATTTAGTCTTAATAAATAAATGTGATCGAAAGACCGATATAGTGATGCACTATTAATAAATAAATAACTTGTAACTACATTTTACAAACATTAGGGAATGAACGCATAACAAAATGTTCTAAAAAGGGTCAAAACATTGAATAAGTTGCAGTCTTCTTCAAATCGAGTGTAATTAAGATATCTTTTATTAATTAAACAAATATTGAAAGATGTTTCTTTTGGTCTATAGTTGGGGGTGAGGGGTTTTTTCTTTTGTCGAGTGATGTGCGACTTTGACTCCTTATTTCTCCCAATCAACAAAATTCCTAGCAACTTATAAAGGGGCACAACAAATCAATAAAATAAGAAGAAGGGGGATTATTATAGAAAATAATAAAGTAGACAAGAAATTTTTCACGAAACAAAATAAAATACGCATCTTATAGTAAATTCATCCTTAAATAATCGAAATAAATAATCAAAGCATCCACATAATCGGATAGAAATTATGTTTGGGTTCTGGTTTTGAATTGATCGATGAAATTTAATTTAAAAATCAGTAAATAAAAATATAAAAAAAAAATATTTTTATTTTTATTTTTTTTAAAATGATTATTCTTTTATCTTTGTTTCAATGATTATTACTTGGACCAATTTAAATTTGCTGAGTTTGTACAAAGTTAAGGAGAAAATTTAAATTAAAAGATATATTATTATATTTATGTCGATGTTTTATTTATAAACATTTATAAACAAAATTGCGTGGAAATTTAATTCCAGCCGGAAATAAGAATATTACTTGATCCAAAGTAAAAATAGTTCACCTCAAAGAATAGATGGATAAGAGGAGGAAGAAATATCCCATGATTAAAGAAACGATCCCAACTAATAAGAATAAGGCAACTAAAGCAAAGTGAAATCCCAAAATATTAAGTAATCCAATTTTTTCTTGAGTCAAGAAGATGAATACGGTTGAGTTTGACCACAACATTTTTGCGGGTTAATATTCCGTTGAAAAGGATCATTAACACCTATTCGTAGAATGAAATCACTCGAATTTTTATTATTTGGGGATTTCGAAGTACATCTTATCGCATTTCATGTACGTGAAGAAGTTGATGATTTTATCGAAACGACCATCAGTTTTTGAGTTGTTGATGCCGAGACTTGTTTATATGACGGAATGTTTAAAGTTTGAGTTGAATCAAAAAGTAGTATCAGGTTTGTCGTTTTCTTGATCAAGTGAATTTCGATTGGTCTAAATTTTTATTTTTAAAAAATAATCAAAATAACAATTGAACTATTTTAAGAAAAAAAAATGAATTTATAATAAGGTGTGACAAGATTATTTTATTGTTTGACTATAAAGAGTAAGGATTGATAAGCAAAGTTTTACGAAAATTGGTCAAAAAGATCAAGAAATCTAGTTAAATTTGTTTAAAGAATTGATACAATGAATAAACTCAAATTGATCTCCCCTTTTTGATATTTCTCACCAAACTTCTCATTTCAAACCTTACGTAATCCCTTCCCAAACCGCTTTTGAAAATAAAAAATGTTTCAGCCCTGTCGGCCCGATTTCCCATCGTTATAATAAGATTATAACTTTAAAAAACGGTTCCTTAATGGAACTGAACGAATATAGTGGATCATTGAACTACCATTTGGCAGTTAAGTGGCAATGAATTTCTCATTAGATGTTAAAATAAAATCCATCGTGGCATTATCCACATGAAAAGATCCAATTGGTCATGTGAAAAATGGATGTGGGTTTATAAGTGAAAAATACGAATTCTTGGACTTATGGGATAACAACATGCCATGAAACGGAAGAGATTTGATTGGATGGTTAAACTTACATAAAATATATACACAACATGGTGTGTGACGAAAAAAAAAGCCCGGTTTTGAATAATTCGAGATAAAACGATTAAATAACAATAACACAAATATTTATATTGAAAAAATTGCGGGTATTTCCATTTAAATGTTTTGTCACGTGAAGAGAACATGGCGTTTAATTATCAGATAAGTTTGTCATTGAAAACAAAAAAAAAGGGAAAACAAATAACAACAATAAATACTTTGACACAATGAAAATGCACATCAAATAACGAAATTGGTAGGTATTTAAAACTTGAAAGGGAATTTTAATAACAAAATGTTTCCAATACTTCAAATTTAGTGATTTGAATTTTGTGTGATTATCTTGTGTTTATGTTAAATAATTATAAACAAAACGGCCCAAGAGTTTTTTCTATGATATATCTCTGTTCGCTATTATATTGTACGTTACTATTTTTAGTTAACATTCTTTTTACAAAAGTTGAAACCTCATGCAATAATGTCCTTGCATTCAAAATAAAAAAAAGATAAAAGGTATGTGGGCGTAAAATAAAAAATGATTGAAACATTACTTTCTGCTCATCATCTTGATTTTCAAAAACTCCACGAAAATCCTTTTTTTCTTAAAAAAAAAAAAAGGAAAAAAAAAAGAACCCTGTGCCTGCAAGAAATCTTTAAATTAGTGTTTTTCATAAAATCCGTTAATAATGTATGTAATGCAACCAACTTTATTTTAGCGTAAAATTCAAATTTGGTCATCATAAAATTAAAAAAAAGAAAGGTTTCATTAGAAGGGGTGCGAGTACATAATAGGATCATGTCGTCATGGAATTCCATGACATCAGAGGCGAACAAAATCGTCATGCTAAACCACAAAGAATGTGCCACTTCATCTGGGCCCATTTCGTAATTCGTCGTAGGATCTCGGGTATCGATTTTGAAGCCACAAAGTTAATGCTGTGGCGAATCAAATTTTTTGACACAAATTAAATCGTTGCAAAATAATGTTGTTTATGTTTCCTTTTATGAATAAATGTAATTTAACGAAAATAGCATTAGCTTTCCATAAAACGCCTAGCGTTGAACATACTAAGATCCTAAAAAAAAATAGTTTATTTATAAAATTGAAGGATAGTATATTATTAGTTATCAGAGTTCCAGAAGATCGTTCTTTTATTTTTCCTCTATTAATATTTCGAATCTAAACCTTAATTGTGCAAGCCAAATTGCCTCAACATTATGTTGATGAATTTTTGGTGATAAGCGTGATCACAAATGAACTATAAACAGCACAATATGTGTATAGTAGTTATTTAGTTATTTGGAACATGTCATAAGAAAATTTCCTAATCAAGATTTATCTTGCAATATATTATATCAGTCGTACCAAAGTTTACATTTGTTTCCGATGGGAAATTATTATTTTATAAAATATTTGATGTGCAACCAAAACATTATTGAAAAAAAAAAACTATTTTGGGCAAATATTAATTTTAATGTATTGTGTTCAAAAATACAAACTAGGTTTTTTTCTTTTTCCCCTTAAATAAATTTATATTTGTGACAGGTCTATAATTTTTTTTTTGTCAATTCTTTTAAAAAAAAAAAAAAAGCTTACTTTATTGCTCGCCCTTTCTTCCTTTTTATTAAATTAAAAGAGCGTCCCTTAAAACTCTTCGTTTAAGATAAACACGACAGGTTGAGAAAGGTAATTGATACATGTTATATTGCTCACTTGTTTGTTACGACACCATATTTTAGTTTTTTTAGATAACGTTTAATACGAGAAAACCCTTTTTTTTTTTTTATAAATTTTAAGAATATATCCAAAAAAAAAAAAAATTCGACAACTTACCTCTTTTTTTTCTTTTCTCTTACGCTTCCTTTTTGCAGCGGGTAATATAGCGAGTTTTTCAAAGTAAACCACGCCTATAAAGAGGTTTACTTCTGCACGTCCGGCTCCACAAAAAAGAGAACCTTTTTTGTACTCTTTTTTTTTGTTTAACTTCTCGGTACTTTTTTTTTGTATTTGTGCTTAAAATAAAAAGCTATAAAAAAAAACTCTCCTTATTAAATAGATATCGCTGCTTTCTTTTTTTTCTTTTTTGCGTTACGTATATAGCAAAAAAAAAAAAAAAAAGACTCGGTCGTGTATTTATTATAGATCACAATAGTAGTGCTCTTGACTATTGTCCGGGCTAAAAGAATTATTAAAAAAAAAGAAGAAAAAAAGTCTGAAATTAAATTTCTTAAAAAAGAAAAAAAAAATAATCATTAATGTTATAACAAGATATAACACTTTGAAGGATTTTTTATGAACTTTGAGAAAAAAATTATAATTAATATATATATAATTTATAAACAACACAAAAAATGTCTCAGTCTAGAAAGCCTTTACCAAAACTTCCAATTGATAACATAAATAGAGATGATTCATCTTCCAAAAATTCATATCGTAATCAACAACATCAACGGCAACCACGAAATGCAAATTCTCCCCCAATATCACCTTCTCCTTTGGGTTCACCAATAAATATTAATTCATTCGATGAAAACTCAAATTCATACTCTCCAAATAATTTTTACAATAATAATGCTAATCCTACATCCGAACGAAGGGATTCACATCAAAAAAAAATTATATGGGATCGGCAACAGGAACAGATCCAACGCCAGAAGATCCCAAAATATCAAAAATATACACCAAAAAATTCTAATAATGAAAATTCAAATTATAATGATAATATTAATGATGATAATGATAACCAAGACCAAACAACGTCGACTAATGTTAATTTCGGGAATGCTGATGATCAAGATGATGTCTCGGATTTTTACAAAGAGGCTTATAGCCCCTCAAGTGGTGGAGGTCGTAATGATTTTTCGGAAAGAGGCAAGGCAAGAGCTTCCGTTGCTTCGATGCCCGAATCTATCATCCAACCTACAGGTAAATGTCACGTTAAACATCACGCCCATCATTTACCTTTCATTCAAACAATCTAAATATGACAAGTAATTTCATTTTTCGACCCATAAAAAATTTTATGTCTCTTTCATTTATATCAACAGAACGATCACCGTCTTCAAGTGCTTCTTCACAGACACTTTTTCAAAAGGATTTTGATAAATCAGCTACTCACCGTTCCAATACCCCCGCTAATGAAAATAATTTGGAGCAAAAAGTTCAGGAAATTGTGGAAATGAATGTGTTAAATGATAGACATACAAGCCTATCACATGCAACATCAATGAGTCATCGACCACGTCCTCAAGCGGAAGGTCCAATCCCTTTATCTAATAATAGTGAAATATGTTCCCCCGAAAGACCTAAAAGTCCTACAAGAAGTTTAATAAGAATGCCATCTATTATGAGAGGCCTTAATGATTCCCCTAACATTGAAAATGCAAATTCTCCACGCCGTCAAAAATCTCTCGTTAGACCTGAACGTGCACGTAACCAAAATTATCGCAATAGCAGAATCGGCACTTCGGCGAGGCCAATGTATGATGATCTAAATGATGATGAAGAAACGAAAAGATGGAGCGTATTTTCTGGTACTGGGGGTGATGATAGACGAAAAAGTTTCATATCCAAAAGAGGTTCGATGAAAGAATCACCAAGAAAAAGAAAATGGTATCAATGTCAATTTCCATCTTTCTGGTTATTATTTTCCCGTTTTATCACTTTTTGGGCCCCTCCTTCTATATTATCATGTTGTGGTATGCACGATAGGTCGGTACAACAAGCTTGGAGAGAAAAAATCGCTTTGGTCACGATCATTATATTACTTTGTGTAGTTGTTGGTTTCTTGACCTTTTTCCTTCGAAATGCCCTTTGTAGGAAACAACCCATTGAAACGATTCATATTGGAACTGTCACACAAGAACAAGCAACTATTTTAGGAAAGGTTTACAATTTATCAAGCTTCACGCATAAACCTGTTCCTCCTTTTGTCAATAATTCAGATTTATCTAGTCCAGAGAATGCCCTTTTTTATCGAGCTGATTTATCATTCCTGTTTCAATCGGTCAACTTTGAATGTAAAGGCGTGTTGACTCCTGATGTTGCAAATGCTGATGGATCGGTACTGAATTATTTTCCTTGTGTGCCCGTACGTGATTATGATCTTCCGAATCCAGATGCAAATCCAGGAAATAAAGGTTGTCATCCAAGTTTTAATGAACGAGTTGTTGCACTCAGTCAATTCAAGTTAATAGGAGAAGTCTACTTTGAATGGGAAGATATACAAAATTCGGCTAAAAAATACGTTGTATATAACAAGTATTTATTTCAACCTTTCTTTTAATAATTAATAATTTATTTTATTTACGATATTTTTAACAAATTTTTTTTTCCAAAAAGTCATGTTCTTGATCTAGATAAATTCCAATGGACGGTTCCAAATATTAATATAAATGAAACATTAAATAAATTAATTGAAGATGAAGATGACATATTCCACGGTCGGGACATCACCCATTATCTACAAAATTCTAATGAAATGGTTAAAGTTGGCAAGTGTATAGATTCAATCGTCCGGGTCGGTGTCGTTAGTTTAACGCCACCCGGTTGCCTCGTCACTGATGTTATAACTTTTGTCAGCTTGATTGTAATCGTCAGTGTGGTTTTGGTTAGATTTTTTTTGGCTGTTTTATTTGGTTGGATTTTGAGTTGGCGTCTTGGTAATTTTCGTGAAGAGACAGCAGAAGAGATTGCCCAACGACAAAGAGATATAGAGAATTGGTCAAATGAAAATAACCATTTCCAATCTAGCTCAAGGTAATGAATGATCCTTGGATTTAACAAGGAAATTTTTTAAAAAAAAGTCTTGTGAAAACTTAATAAAACATTTATTATAGGGATTTGAGACAAGATTCTGCATCATCATTCAATCTCACCAACAAATCGAGATTCTCAACGCTTCCTCCGCCTGGATCAGCACCTTTTATTGATCGAAGAAGGCATGATAGTCGACCAACTAGTCGACAATTTTTACCGAATCAACCCGGTATTAAGAATTTTCATAACGGCTCAACTAGTTCGCTTTTGGGACCAATGTCAACTAATGGTCATTCCGCAGCTACGATGAAGGATTCCAAAACAAGTCGAAATTCATCTTTTAACGAAAACAACAGTCAAGGTCGAACGGATTCTCTGTCTTCAACCTCGTCAGACGCTCAAGTCTCTTCCCATCCAAACTTGGATCTTTCCAGCGAAGCGCGATTAAATTTTTCATCGAAGCACACCATCATGTTGGTTACATGTTATTCTGAAGGATTACAAGGAATACGGACGACCCTTAATTCTTTAGCAAATACGGATTATCCTACTTCACATAAACTGATTATGGTCATCGCAGATGGGGTAATTTTTGGTGCCGGAAATGAACTCTCCACTCCGGATATTTGTCTTTCTTTGATGTCCGATTTTATTGTTCCCGTTGATAATGTCGTGGCGCATTCTTACGTTGCCATTGCTGATGGAAAGAAACGTCACAATATGGCCAAAGTGTATGCTGGTTTTTACAGATATAAAGATTCGACGGAGAAAGTTCGCAAAGTTCCAATGGTGACTATCGTAAAATGTGGAGGTCCTGACGAAAAGGAAGACAAAAAACCAGGAAATCGTGGAAAACGTGATTCTCAAATCATTCTAATGAGTTTCTTACAAAAAGTCATGTTTGACGAAAGGATGACACCTCTTGAGTATGAATTCTTCAATTCAATTCGAACGGTTTCCGGTGTTACCCCGGACTTCTTTGAAATCGTACTAATGGTAAAACCTATATGAAATTTGTGTTTGATAAAAATGTTCAAATAAGTTTATCAACTAACATAATTTTTATCGATCCTAGGTTGATGCTGATACAAAGATTTATGCTGATTCGGTGACAAGAATGGTTGCATGTATGGCAAATGATTCCTCGGTTATGGGTATTTGCGGTGAGACGAAAATCGCCAACAAAAGCGATAGTTGGGTTACGATGATTCAAGGTAAATATCCTTTGAATAAATTCTGTATCAAAATTTTTTTCAATTTTATCATTTAAATATTAATTTCCTTCTTTTTTTTTCATTATAGTGTTTGAGTATTATATCTCTCACCATATGCAGAAGGCCTTTGAATCAATTTTTGGAGGTGTAACATGTTTACCGGGATGTTTTTGCATGTATCGTATCAAGTCGCCAAAGGGACCTAATGGGTATTGGGTACCGATCCTTGCCAATCCTGACATCGTTGAGCAGTATTCAGAAAATATCGTTGATACACTCCATAAGAAGAATTTATTACTTCTTGGAGAAGACAGATATTTATCAACGTTGATGCTTCGAACATTCCCAAAAAGAAAAATGATGTTTGTACCTCAGGCAGTATGTAAGACAATTGTGCCCGATACATTTAGGGTACTTAGATCACAAAGACGTAGATGGATTAATTCTACTGTACATAATTTATTAGAATTAGTGTTGATTCCAGACTTGTGTGGGACCTTCTGCTTTTCGATGCAGTTTGTTATATTTATGGAACTAGTTGGCACAGTGGTATTACCGGCTGCTATAACTTTTACCGTATATCTTATTATCATTTCAATCGTTAAAAAACCTCCTCAAATTATTCCACTTGCACTTTTAGCCGCCGTGTTAGGTTTACCAGCAATTTTAATTTTATTGACAACTCGAAAAATAGTTTATGTGGGATGGATGTTGATTTATTTATTATCATTGCCCATATGGAACTTTGTGTTACCTGTATACGCATTTTGGCATTTTGATGACTTCTCATGGGGACAAACGCGCGTGATTATTGGCGACGAAATTGCAGATCATTCACGCAAGGATGGGGAATTTGATAGTACAAAGATCGTAATGAAACGATGGGTAGAGTGGGAACGTGAAAAACAGATGAAATCCAAAAACCCGATGCAACAACAAATTTCATCAGCTCCAATGAGTCTAGAAGAAAGGTATCAAAATCCAATAAGGCAAGGGGGAAATGAAAAACCTTCGTATCAAACAATGACGCTTCCAAGAGTAGTTGGTAAAAGAAATACTGGTACGACGAAATTAAAGTCTCATACTGCGGATTCTTTAATGATACCGCCACCATTAAGTAATTCCTCGAATAATAGTAGCTCGACACTTACAGTTGGTACGGATGCTTTTACGTCCACTACAACTGAAGTAGGAGATTATCGACAAAATTCATTACCAAGAACTAACACAAACAGTTCTAATTTTAGTTATAATAGTAGTAATAATACTAGAAACAGTAATAACAGTTATATTAATGGAAATAATAACGGACCTGATGAAAATCGTATCCATTTACAACGTCGACATTATAGTTCGTAAATAAGAGACAATGGGAATATTTTTTTTTTAAAAGAAAAAACATAAACTTTGAAAAGATTCTCTCTGCTCTTCAATATTCAATTGTTTATATTTATACTCATTTTGTAGACTTTATGAGTGAAAAAAATCTAATTTGTATTCATAACTTTAAAATAATTATTATTGTCTTTATTTAGTTTTTTATTTTTTTTGTTTGGTGTATTGGTGTAATTTTTTTAATTATAGAAAGTTTAATAATATTGTATTTTTTTGGCGGGTTTTTCTATATATACTTTTCTTTGAATTTTAATAGATTGGATTAAATTTAAATTTAGTGATTATGATGAGATTTCGTATCTTTTTTAAAATTCAAATTGTTACTAATATTTTTTATTTTATTTTATTTTTTTTTTTAAAAAAAAAAAAACTAAACTAATTGAATAAATACTTGGTAAATTATATAACTTTTCAAAATTCTTTTTAAATTATTTTATTATTTTCTATTTATTTTATGATTATATTCATTATTTTAATAATCAGTTCTTATAAATTTAAGTTATTAATCAACTAAATAATTCTCTTAATAAGTAGGAAAGTAATTATTATAAAAAAATTTTTTTTCAGTTAATATTAATCTAAATATATTTTACCTTAAAAAATAAAATCATATTTAATATAAAATTAATTTAGAATTTTATCAAAAATTTATAGTTTTTTTTTTATTACAAGATTTAATAATCAAAACCTTTTATTTATTTTATAAATATTTTAATTTATAATCAACTTTAAAAAAATAATAAATATTAATTAAAATTTAAAATATCAAAAAATATAATATAATATAAGAAAAATAAAGTTATATTATTATTTCTTTATATTAAAATAATAAAATTTAATTTAATCATAATATATAAAATAATAAAAATATTATTTACTAAAAAGTTATTCTTTTAATTATATAAAAAAGTAATCTATTATAGAATACTAACTATAATATTTATAATATTTTAAGTATTTTACAAATTTATATCTATTTTATAAAGTATCTAAGTATTTTGATTAGAAGGAATATTATTACACAAAAAAGACATAAATGATCCAAATGACGTATATGACTGCGATAACTAAAGTTACTAGGTGAAATCAAGAGTTTAGATAGACGTCTAAATGGTAAAGGTAAAACTTGATTAAATTATATTAAAATCTTATTAAAAATCTGCGAATGGAATACACCATATAATATAATTATATTATATGGTGGTATTCCACTTGCCTTAGATTATAGTATTACCATATGACCTGAATACCATCATGTAATCTGAGTACCATCATATGATTTGAATACTACTATAATCTAAAAGATATAATCTAACTACCACCATATAATCTAAATAATATAATCTAAGTATCATCATATAATCTATATGTTTTATGTTTTGGTATCTATTTTATGTTCTAGCTATCCCTTTTAACCTTTCCTATTATTCATCATTTTTACCACCATATAATCTAACTACCACCCACTATTTAATCTAACTACCATCATATGATCTGAATACCACACCTTTCTTCTTGTTTCTAAGCCTTTTGCATACCAATTTCTATATTGGGGTTGTTAATTGTCCGTGACTATTTGGATACCTGGTTTTATGTTGAAAGTGCTAGTCATCTGTGTCTGGTTGGATGCTGGATTCTATATTGAGACACTTATTCTTTGCGCCTATTTGGTTGCCTTCAGGATATTAAAATAGTGTAAAAAAATATTGCGTCAGATGGCGCAGTAAATTCGCATTTAATTTTAGCTGACACTATGTCATAATTTCAGCTGATCTTTTGAGCACATGATTCAAGGATCCAGCTTAACACTATGATAATACTGTAATAGTGTTATAGAACTATCGTGAAACTGGTAGAGAATTGTTATGGAACTATCATGGAACTGATAAAGAGTCAGAGAGATTTATTAGTTCACCAGTTTTATGCCAACTTTGGTACTGAGTTATTATATCTAAAGTTTTAGCTGAAATTATAGAATAGTGTTGGCCAAAATTAAGTGAATTTATACTAAGTCTTTTTTCTAAAATAGATGTTACAAGATAATACATATATTGTTAGAAGAGTTATCTAATAGTACTCCTAGAGGGCTCAATGATAGGTGATTCTTTATGCATATATTATTAATTTTCTGCGTCTAAAGTTTTTGTGATACTCTATGCATATATTTAGGGTTCCGCAATTCGATTTGATATTTGAATATTTGATTTGATCAAATTCAAATCAAAGAATGATTTATTTGA